TGGAGAGTATCAGTGTCAAAACTTGGTATATTTAAGGAATCAGATTCATTTTCATATATAACTAACTTTTACAGAAAACTAAATCCATATTCTTGAAAATTTCTTTTCCTATTTACTATTTCTGCTCCGTCCCTTAGGACTCTGCTGTCTGCTAACTAATCTGATAATTTAATTTGTACTTAGGTATAAATAGATAATGTTGCCTTAGGATCTTTTACTCCTTCTTTTATTTATTTGCTATATTGAATCCCTATTGTTACTAGAAGCAGGGTATGAAAATGACAGCAGTGGGCTGGTGAAAAAAGATGATTTCCAGAATGGAAGCCTTCTATATCCCTCAAGTTACAGCCCAAAAGTGCCGGTTCATGCCCCATGTGCATACGTTCTGATACGTCTGGATTCTACATGACAGAATCAGATACTGATAAATATTTTTAATAGTCCTTGGTAACAGTATGTTTGAAGTCTCTTCTAAAAATTCTTTTTGTTGACTGGATGGATTTATGCTATAGAAAATTATATGTCTATTTGAAACTTTAGAGTTGATGGAAATGACACATTTGTTTTCAGATACTAAAGATCTGGAATTCTTCCCTTCTATAGAAATAAGTATGGTCCATGGTTATTTACTACAATAGGGAACTCACTGGGGCACGAACTTGTTCCAGATGCTCTCTGCTGCCTGCACTGCCAATGGGAGGGCTAGATCCCAGATGCTGTGGGTAAAATATCAGGGAGGCTCCGGATATTTTCTCCCATCACGGTTCAGCTTTCTGACACTAAGAAAAGAAATTGTAGAAGATGTAAACAGATGGAAAAATCTACCTTGCTCTGGATTGGTAGAATCAATATCGTTAAAATGTCCATACTACCTAAAGTGATCTACAGAATTAATGCAATCCCTATCAAAGTACCATCATCATTCTTTACAGATCTAGAAAAAATAATTCTGCACTTTGTATGGAACTTGAGAAGACCTTGTATAGCCAAAGCAATCTTAAGTAAAAAGTACAAACTGGGAGGCATCAGTCTACCAGACTTCAAGCTGTACTACAAGGCTATGGTAACTAAAACAGCATGGTACTGGCACAAGAACAGAGACATAGACCTTTGGAACAGGACTGAGGATCCGGAGATGAAACCATCTGCTTAGGATAATCTAATCTTTGACAAAGCAGACAAAAATATACACTGGGGAAAAGAATCTCTTTTCAATAAATGGTGCTGGGAAAACTGGGTAGCTACATACAGAAGAATGAAACTGAATCCCCACCTGTCACCTCTCACAAAAATCAATTGAAGGTGGATAACAGACTTAAACCTAAGGCTTCATGAAACCTTAAGAATTCTAGAAGAAGATGTTGGGAAGACCCTTTCAGACATCGACCTAGGCAATGAATTTTTGAAGAAGAACCCCAAAGCAATCACCACAGCAACAAAAATAAATAAATGACATCTGATCAAATTAAAAAGCTTTTGCACAGCCAAGGAAACTGTCATTAGAGCGAATGGACAGCCTACAGAATGGGAGAAAATATTTGCTCTCTACACATCTGATAAAGGGCTGACAGTAAGAATCTATCTAGAACTTAAAAAAATCAACAAGAAAAAAATCAAACAACCCCATCAATAAATGGGTAAAGAAAATGAACAGAAACTTTTCAAAAGAAGATAGAATAATGGCCAGCAAACATATAAAAAAATGCTCAACATCTCTAATCATTAGAGAAATGCAAATCAAAACCACAATGAGATATCACCTAACCCCAGTGAGATTGGCCTCTATCAAAAAATCCCAAAACAACAAATGTTGGGGAAACACTCTTACACTGCTGGTGGGACTGCAAATTAGTGCAACCTCTGTGGAAAAGAATTTGGAGATACCTCAAAGAGCTAAAAATAGAAATGCCATTCAATCCAACAATATTACTATTAGGCACCTACCCAAAAGAGCAAAAGACATTCTATGATAAAGACATCTGTACCCGAATGTTTATGGCAGCACAATTCACTATTGCAAGGATGTGGAAACAACCCAAATGCCTGTCGATTCATGAGTGGATTAATAAAATTCGGTATATGTATACAATGGAATATTACTCAATTATAAGAAGCGACAATGATCTAGTACCTCTTATATTTTCCTGGATTGAGCTTGAGCCCATTATCGCAAGTGAGGTATCACAAGAGCAGAAGAATGGGCTCCACTTGTACTTGCCATCAAATTGGCACTAACTGATTAACACTATGGTGTTCACATAGTAGTAATATTCTCCAGGGATTAGTGGGTTGGGGGGGTAAATTCACAACTAATGGATGCGGTGAGCATTGTAGGGGGGAAGGGCATGCCTCTAACCCTTACTTGGGTGAGGCAAAGACATAAAATGTAACCAAAATGTTTGTACTCTCACAATATCCTGAAATAAAAAAAGGAAAAAAAAGAACTGGTCAGCGTTAGTTTTGTCCTCACTCCTAGGGCACAGCCCCTCCCGTCCTCTCTACCTTGGTGGGGTTTGAACTCTCACTCTCCAGTTGCTGTGTGGCTCCTCTCACATAGGCAGTCGGCCCTGCCCCACTCCCTAGGGTGACTCTGTGAGCAGAGTACCCAATTACTGGGATTCTGGAGGCTGTGAATCCCCTTCAAAGCCTGTATCATATGCTCAACAGTCCCCAACTCCTGCTGTGGAAACTTGCATTTCTAATTAGAAGTTCTGAGCATCCGACATCAGACACCACTACATGGAGAGATCACCCTTGGTGCTTCTGCTCCTGCCCAGCCAGTGTCCGTGTGTCCATAGGTCTAGATGGACATTTCTGCCCATTGACTTTGCTCTCTATAGCTGACCCCTCCTGAGTATGCTGGTGTAAGTTGAATAAGTTTTAAGTCAGTCACGAAAAGTTGTTTAGACATATAAATGACTGCCACAGGATCTATTTACAGCCAAGATTTTACAGATAGATGTGTTTATAAATGTGTTTTCATTGGCTGTGAGTAATTTCTGTATAGTGCCATTGGACAAATGTAATTCACATTTTCCATTAAGAAGGCAGCAGGGGTGTGCAAAGCGTGGTCAGTTATCTTGTGACTCCGGTCACAGGATATTCTGGGATTCTGGGATTGGAATTGATTTGGGGGGATTCCTACTCTAGCAGGAAAACTATCAGTTAAACTCAAACAGTCCGAAACCCCTTTCCACAGCCCGAACCTCTTGTAAACGAATTGAAGCCAGAACTCAGTTCTTCAGCTGAGACTCTGTTGAGATCCGTGGGCAAGGGGGCCTGGTATGCGCGTCCCGGGGGAGGGCTGTGCCACGGGCTGCGCCGGAAGCCTGTCGGCCAGGCTCCCACGGGCTGTGCGCTGGCAGCCTTGTCAGGCAGAGGGTAAGAGGGCCCCCCCAGCACTTCCTCTTTGCCAAGTGTGTGCACAGGTCTGGAAGAATGGAAAGAATGTCAGAGGGAGTAAGTGACACAGTCCCTCAAGCTAGCGGTGGTGACAAAGGCTGAGAAAAAGGCATACCTGGGTCTGCAAGCACCTGACTTCCATGACCCATGCTGCAGTGGGCAGCTGCCCCTTCCCTCCCGCGCTGGGCCTCCTCTCACAGGTAGCCCCCCCTGCCTAGGTCTTTCTCATCACTGACGTTCGGTTTTCTGGCGTCTGTTGTGTCAGATTCCCCTGTAAACCCAGCCCAATCACCCCTCATTGTTCTTGGGTTGTGCTCTTTTTCAAGCCACCACATTTCCCAGCCACCAGCACCACCCACCCACCCAGCCATGGCTCCTTCCCATCCCTGCCACCTGCATCGGGGTTCCTAGTGCCTCAGAGCTGACAGTTCCAAGCTCAGAGCAACTTAAAGGTCAGGGTTCCTGTTAATACTATTCCAACCATATTGTAGATTCAATATAATTTGGGAAAGCGGATGAGAAACCTACAATCTTTTAAAGCATTGAGAAATTTCTGGAGGAAGTTTCTATGATTGACAAAGTGCTGTTCTTGGATTTTGCCTTGTTTCCAAAAATGAAGAACCAGCACATTTAGAACATAACCCATCTGTAGGTCATGCTTCCAAGCATACATGTATATAAAACCGGGCACATTAGACAGAGATGTGCCCACAGAGATGGAGCGAGACAATGGGACTGAAACCAGATGGGATCAGTCAGGCAGTGTTTAGGGTGGGAGGGGCCGGGGCTGGGCTGCAAGGAGCAGAGTGGCCTGGACAGTGAATTGGAAGTGGATACAGTTAGTCGTGGATAATTGATAAAATGTTCATTTTATTTTATCTTTCTATCACTCTGCTGCATGGGCCCCTTTCTCCTGCCCCCAGCCTGGCCTCCTGTCCTCCCGGACACGAGCATTCTGTTCTTACTCCATTTTTCGGAGGCAGTGACTTGCTCGGAGCCTTTGTGAGATGGCGATGGTATGCACTGCTCTATTTATTATTTTTTAAAAAATAGATAAGGAGGATGGGAAATGCTAATGGCAAACGCGACCCAGAGCCCACCCTGTGTGCTGTTCTGCAAAGCGTATTTTCTTACCAAGCTTGGGCTGGACCCACAGGCAGAGGTGGTGTGAGTGGGCGGCGGTGGGGGCCTGCCTGGCGGGCTGCATTGTGCTGTAGACCGTCCGCGAACACAGCAAAGTGCGTAACCAGGTAGCTCAGGTCAATGCCCAACATTTGTCTGTCTTCACGTATTTCCAAAATCATTCATACAACCAACTGTACGGTGTGAAGTGTCACAGGCAGGACATAAAGTTCCTTTTGTGATTGGATCCCCACACGCTGGGTCCTCCTCTCTGAGCGCCCACCTTCCTGTTAGTCCATGAAGCAGGCTCTGCTGCTTGTCGTTGGCACCTGAGCCCAGAGACAAACAAAGTACCATTTATCAGATTACTGAGTAGGGTGAGACCAGGTCTGAAAGTAAGAGCTTGCTCAGGAAGCTGTTAGCCACGACTGTTTTTAAATTCCAAAAATAATGTATTCCTTTTACAAAAATTGCAGGTTGCCGTATCCCCCAAATTGAAGATGCTGAGATTCATAACAAGACATATAGACATGGAGATAAGTTAATCATCACTTGTCATGAAGGATTCAAGATCCGTTACCCCGACCTATACAACCTGGTTTCATTGTGTCGCGATGATGGAACGTGGGATAATCTGCCCATCTGTCAAGGTACGAGACGGCACTGTAGTTCTCAGCTGGGATGTTCTTCTCTTGGGCTTTATTGTAGACTGGGTGCATGCTTCTCTAACAGAGCGACAGAGATGCTGGGGGAGAAACAAAGCCAGCTAGCTACCCCATGTGGACCAGCTGTGTCTTCCCTGTGATTGCCAAATCTCTGTTCTTAGAGTCGCCATCATCACTCCTTGTAGCTTGCTCAGCGCTGTACACCCCGTTTGAAAATATACACGGGAAGGAGCTTCTTCTTTAGCATGTTGGATGTCTCCTTTGCTTTAAGATATCAAAAGTACTTCAAGAATTAGGAGACTTGTAAGTGGGCTGCGAACACAATGATGAACTATTGTATATTAAATGGAAATAACAGGGCATTTATACTTATTTCAGTCGTGGTGAGAATTTAGTTAAAGCCAATCTTACCAAGGCCATTTTCTCTTAATAATGTTATCCTTTTTTATAATGCATGAAGAGCAGAAAAAATAATCAAATTCAAATTTCATCCAAACCACACAGTGAATATTTATCCTCTTGCATTTTTTACATTTGCCTGGGCCAACTTAGAGGGCCCTGTTTGTGAAAATAAGCCCTCAAGTTGAGATTAATTCCGATTTTATTTTTGGACATGTGACTCGGACCAAAGGACCGAGTAGCCAATGCATAATTCATAATGTGAGGCAAGAGGAGAGCAATCTCGCTTGCTCCAAAAGCACCGGCATGTTGAACTTGAGACGAATGTTAACTTTGTGCTGGGAAATCTCCACTGGCAGACTCCGACATTGCTGTGTGTGCCGTCTTTGGAAATACGCCATTTCCTTATGTGAGAGGTACGGAGTCCTGACCCCCTGAAGGAACAAAGGTTCAGAATTGGGAGGACAGGGCGGCCCACCGTCGCGCCGCGCTGCCTGTGCTGCTTCGCACGGCCTCTGTTGCATTTTTAAAGGAGACGTGATTTACTCGCATTTTCATAGGCTGTCTACAGCATGAGCAGCTGGCTCCTAGGCTCTTGGGCTACTTACTCAAGTAAACTTTTTTACCTGCTGATTCGTTCCAGTCCTCCGGCCCAATCTGAGTAATGGCGAAGAAAATCACCTCAGACTCCAGCCACTTCCCGCCTTCATACTTTCCACGTTCGCGGTTGTTCTCCCGCCTTTTCTGGGTCGGGGTGTGTGTGTCACTTAAATACAGTGTGCTTTTTTAGGAGAATTCTTTTCTCCCCCCAGTGATTTTTTTATTTCAGAGTATTATGGGGATACAAACGCTTTGGTTACATAAATTGCTTTTGCACCTCCTGAGTCAGAGCTACAAGCATGCCACCCTGCAGGCAGCACTCACCGCATCTGTTAGGTGTGGATTTACCCATCCCCTCCTCCCCCCACCCAACACCCTATGAATGTTACTTCCATATGTGCACATTAGTGTTGATCCATTAGTACCAATTTGATGGCCCGTACACGTGGTGCTTGTTTTTCCATTCTTGTGATACTTCACTTAGAAGAATGGGCTCCAGCTCCATCCAGGATAATACAATAGGGAGTTCACCAATTTTTATTTTTTTAATGGCTGAGTAGTACTCACATCCAACGATTTTTTCAAAAATCCTGCTCTGGCATACCTCTTGGTATTGCAGCATTCAGACCCAGGCTTTCCCGTTGCTCTGTCTGGACGCTTGTAATCCTCCCCCATCACTCAAAGCCCCGTCGAGACACAGTTTTTCTAGGTCTGTAATGACAGAGCTGGCTCCTCTGGAGAGGCATGCCTCTTCCAACAGCAGCAGACCCAGCCCAGCTCTCCTTCCCCCTCGGCGCCCTTGGTCCTGCAGAGGAAGTGGCCTGGCCTGCACCCTGCCCCCCATGCCACCCTGTGCCCCTCCGCACTTAGCAAGGAGGGGTCCTGCCTGCTGGAGCTGCCACTGCTCCAGCTTCCTCTTGGCCGCCTGCCTGACACACCACAGGGAATGAGGAATCGAAGTCGCCTTAGACAGCCCGCCACCCCTCTGAGCCCCCAGGAGGAATATAATTGGCCCTCAGAGTGACAGTTCATTCTGTAACTTTTATTTGCACCTATAGATCCAGGGGCTGAAGGCTGAGGAGCCTTCTCTCCATTATCTAGAAGTGCAAATGGAAATCACATTGAGCGACTGAGTCGAAGCCGGGTTTCTACTGTTGTATTTAGGCCAGGCTATCTCCAACCAAGAGTGAGCATATCTTTCCTTCTCCTCCAATTAACTGCACGAATCACAAGCCCCCTCTGAGTCCGAGTTAGTTTCTATGTGGGAGAAACCAGTTTATCTGTGTGAGTAGCTTAGAACCACAACTCCTTCCTAGGAGGAGGGGCGGACGAGCATCTGTGCCAGCTCGTTTGAGCCATGCAGGGCTCTCGTGCATTTGCTTATTCCTGTTAATGTGTGCATCTGCTTTTCTCAATGACCGATTCTGTTTATTCCTGGTTCCCATTCCCCCAGCCCCTACGTAACATGCATACACTTCACTTTTACTGTGAACATTGTCAGTTTTCAGCTAAAAAAAAAACCTAAGAGCATGGGACTATCTAAAAAGACGGCTGAGCTCCACGCAGAGCGCTGTGGTCCCAGGACACAGCGGTGCAGTGTGGGCACCGCACAACCCCAGGCACGCCACGCCACCTGTCTCATCCTCGCCCGTATTCAGGCGCCAGCTGAAGCAGTTTGCTGCGAGGTCCCTCCGAAATACTGCGGTATTGAACAAAGTCAGTAGGAGAGGGGCTCGTCACCTGCTGCTGTGCGTGTGATGCACACAGTCTTTGGTGACCGGAAGGGAATGCGGGCATTGCCGTTAAGCATGATTTACTTCACACACCATCAGTTCTCCCCTGGAAGTACACCGGCTCTGCAGTGTCATTATTCCCTCCAGTGAAATTGCTGAAGCAATAAGAAATTTCCATGATCACAGTGGGCCCTGCACACAACAGGATTCTGTGCCAGTGGGCATGTTCCACTGGGCTGCAAGGCTTCACGACAAAAAGACAGCTCATGCTTTACAGAAGTAGCAGTGTGGGATCCGGGCCCCACCTCCACTCCGATAGCACCCCGGGTGCTGTGCTCGACGCACGCACTCACGGCAGCCGTGCTTCTCCGAGTAGGATCCCAGAGCAGCAGCAGCACCTGGAAGTGATGGTGCAGCCCTCAGCTCCACCCTGGACAAACTGAAACAGAAGCTCTGCACGTGGACCCGGCAGTCTGCGTCCTACCAAGCCCTCCGGGTCATTCTCAAGTGTGAGAACTGCTACACTACAGGGTTCCGCATCTATTTCACGTAAGACACAGCTGGAGTTTCAAAAGCTTAAGGGCACCACCTCAGGTCGGTTTCTGTCCCATGATCTGCTACAGTGGAATCGAGTTCGGGACAGAACCTTCCTGAGCCGCCCCCACCACCACTGAAACCATTGGCACCACTGAAACCATTGGCACCACTTTCCTCTTACAGCAGCTTGGTGGTTCTCAACCCCGTGGGTACACGAGGATCACCTGGGAAGCTGTAAGAAAAAGTAATGGTCCCTAGGCTGTCCCCAGACCCAACGCATGGGGCCTGGGCATTGGTGGCTTTTAAAAGCTCCTCATGTGATGCAGTCAGGGTGGGAACCACCTGGCTGGCTGTGTCCCAGTCCAGAGTCAGACACTCACCACCCTCCCTTTCTCTTCCCTACTTCTCTGACCTCTTGGTGCCATTTGCAAATGGAAAAGCGAATGTAGCATTATAAACAGATGGGTAAGTAGAACGTGGAGGCTGAGCATTTGAGACCAAGGTGCTTCATTCTTCAGAGGTGGGGCCCTTTGCACAGTGGGGGAATCCTAGAGTCGCCACGTTCTGTTTGACTTTGAGATGTGCAGAGATGACTGAGTGAAGCCCTTCCCTTTTTCTTTTGCCTTCCACAGGCTGCCTGAGGCCTCTGGCCTCCTCCAATGGCTACGTGAACATCTCTGAGTTCCAGACCTCCTTCCCAGTGGGGACTGTGATTGCCTATCGCTGCTTCCCCGGGTTTAAACTCGAGGGGTCCGAGTACCTCGAGTGCTTACACAACCTTATCTGGTCGTCCAGCCCACCCCGGTGCCTTGCTCTGGAAGGTAACACATCTTATCCTTTCAGAAGTTGTATTTTGGGTAATGAAGGGGGTGTTTCCCTAGGAGGTAAAGAGCTGCAATTGTGGTCAGCAATAACTTCTGTTCGCTGAGTGTATTTTTCTTACCTCTGTCCAGAGCAGAGATCGTCTGCCACGAAGCCATACTTATAACTAGACGTGAAACTTGCTTCCCCCACCCTCGGGCTTAAGGAGGATGAGAGCAGATAAAAGAAAAAGTTGCAGGCATCAAAGGTTAAACTGCAAAATATTGCAAAGTTAAATGAAATGTCTTCAAAAATTAATTTTCTCTGCACCAAATGAAAACAGATTGTATTATAGCATCATTAATCTCACCCCTCGTTTTATTGTTGTGTCAATGTTTCTTCCATATTTCCATGCATTTTATAGCTTAGCTATAAATGTTTTGCTGCAAGCACACCCTTGGAAGCCTGAAAGCAAGAGCTCTTGCCTCCCTATTTTTATTAAATCTCTGTGATTACAGATCGTGGCCCACTAAAGACCACTAATCTGCAGTGTGCAGTAGTGAGGGGACAGGGCGCCCACTGGCAGCGTCAAGGCAGTGTCTGTAGGGGCGGAGTCCATAAAAGCCCTGTGAGGCACGTTGGACATGCTAGTTCAGCTCTTGCTTTAGCTCAGGGTTGAAATTATGCCTGACAAGAATAAACACCAATGCACTTCTTGGCATCTGAGTCTAGTGGGCAGGAGTGGGTCTATATGGGGAAAGAAAAAAAGAAAAGGAAACCTCCAGTCAAGAGCCCCTCCAAAGCCTATTTGCAGCCTTGCTCGGGAAACAAAATAAGAAGCAGTGGCCTGCAGAAGCACAAATCCTGCACGTTCGCAGCGTCTCTGCCACATGGAGCCCAGTGTGGGAGGAAGCCAGATGGGGAGCGCTGTAGAGGACGACCGCTGGCCAGAGGAACCAGAAGTGTTTCTAGAGGAAAAGATGGGGCTTGCAGTGGGGTTGGCTGGAGCTGTGGCAGCTCCTGGGAGAAGAGTGGGGGAAGGGGGAGGGGAGGAGACGCCGAGCCTGGCCGTTGGCTTTGCCATGCTGCCAGCCTAGTCCTTAGAGCCCCACGCGTCCCACTTCCCACCCATCCCAGATCTTCTAGGGAATTGGAACCTAGACTAGAGATGTCAGATGAAATACAAGACATTCAGTTAAATATGAATTTTAGATAAACAACAAATCATTTTGTGATATGAGCATGTCCTAAATATTGTGTGGGACTTACAGTGAAAAAACTATTCTTTGCTTATCTGAAATTCATATAGCCCTGAGTGTCTTATATTTCTAAAGGCTAAATCTGGCCACCCTAGCCTCGAAGGACAAGGTCATCCCCTTTGTTTCCGGTGGGAACAGCCTTCCTGCTGTCTGGACACTGCTGGCAGGCCGAGGTGAGAGCATGGCCACTGGTGAAGAGGGGCTCTTCCCTAGTTCCTGGCAGCTTCTCCCTGCTCCGATAACCAGGCAGAGAGGGGAGTTTCAGGATACCATTGTTATGATTTTATCAATTTGAAATGCCTATTTTAAAATCCTTTCAAATTTGTTTTAAACATGTTTCAAGCAGCCCGGTTCTGATAAGCTTCATTTTGGGACTTGAAAAGCAGTTTTTATGGAGCCTAGAGAATATGGATAGGCATAAAACAAAATCTAAGGTTATAAACGGGGCCGTGAGTGGCTTCTGGCTAAAAATGAGTCTCCTGGCTTAATGCAGGTCCCTCTTCCTCTGCCAGCCTCTGCCGCGGCCAAAGTTGGAAGTGAAAACCCCAACTGACAGCCGCCTGTGCAGGAAGGCCACTCAGTGCCTTTTTCCCTCGGGTTTTTGTTTTTTAATAATATTTACGTCCCCATTTTAAATAACATACCTTGACATTTTCTGATGTGATAGTTGGTGAGCCCTTTAAACGAGACACTGGTTAAAGGCATGAAAGCCGTGATTCTCAGCTGACAGGTGAAGAGCGAACGAAAGGATTGTTTTTCTCGAGGCATACTAGAAGCGGGGTGAGACTGAGCGGTGGGACAGAATACGAGGTAAGGAGTCATGAACAAGTTATCCAGATGCGCCGAGGTGTTGCCATTTCTTTAACTCTTACTTTAATTGTGTATCGTCTTTTAAAAATATGGTGCTTATTTATGTAATACTGACATAGGGTATTCAGCATAGAAGAACTATCCCAAGGGAATTGGCCCCTTTAATAGATCACCCACACTTTTTCTTCCCCGTTTTTCTGCCTTCCTAAGCACACAATTTGCACAGTTTGATTTTTCTTGATGACATAGCGAAAATGACCGCACTGCTATGGAATCGTGATGCCCCCAAGGGGCTTTCAAACACGTTAGGACACTCTGACCCCTGCACAGCCCGGGTGTGGACGGTGGTGCTGCAGGAGTCTTTCTCCGTGAGCTTCTCACCCCATCCCCCTGCCTGTCTCACTGTTAATCCAGCAGCTGTCAGTCTGCCTGTCACTCCCAGGGAACTTGCCACTGTAGCTCTCCCCGAAACCCAAGCTTCTTTCTCACCCTGCTATGAGCCGGGAGATGGGAGCGCTGGCTGACCACGGGGGCAGTGCAGCATGTGGGTTCGGAGCGCCGGCTGCTGCCAGACTGGCTGGCTTCGGTCCTGGGTGTCCTACTGCGTCACTGTCACCTGGGGCAAGTCACATAGGCTCTCGCCGCAGGCTCCATTCTTCCTCTGTAAAATGGGGGTGATGACTTTACTTACCTCGTGGGCCTGTGAGGATCCAGCGTGACGACAAACCCGGCACATAGAGTGAAGGTCCACCCCAGGGTCAGTGGTCCATCACGTGTCCGTTGTTATTAATGCACTTACGGTTGTATGTGAAAGTCACAATAAATAAGTAAGAGAGGCTATGGGTATGCCTCTCTATGACTAAAGTGTGCAGGCGTTTGGGCAGGCACATCGTGATGCTATTTTGGTTGCTTGCGTATTCCTAGCTGTGTCCCTATAAGGTGACTCTCAAATAATGGGAGGAAACGCTGAATAATAGTAACAGTTGCCATTAATTTGGAGCGCTTACCACACTGGTGTCAGCTCTCGACTACAGCGTTTGGCACAGTATCTCATTTAGTCCTTGCAACTCCCTTGGAGGCAGGTACGGCTATTAGCCCCATTTTGCTGATGAGCAAACCCAGGCTCCCAAAGGTTCAGTAACGTGTCCAACGTCCCACAGCTAGTAAGAGGGGGAGCTGGGACTCAAGCCTGGCTCTTTCTTTACCGCTTTAAACCTGTGATCTTAATCACCAAGGTGCGTTGTCTAATTAATTTGTTCTGATTACAATCCAACAGGAAAAACAATTTGATATTTTTATAGCCATTTTTTAAAGAGTCAAAAAAATTTAAAAATTATTGCATAGGAAGGAATTTGTCTTCCTAGTCTAGTTATCCTCCCGGAGAAACCCCAGTGGCGGGGGGCTTCAAGTCCAGAGGGAGGCCCTGCTGCCCCCCGGGTGGCTGTGAGGTCTCACTCAGCGCCTGACAGAGCCTGTTAGTCTCCCACGTGACCGTGGGGCCCCTCTTCAGCCAGTGAGCGAGGGAGAGATTGTTGGAGTCCTTTTTCCAGATGAGGACACAGCACCTTGAAGGATGACACAACTTGTCCAGACCTGCCAACTCTTGGTACATGGCTCTTTCTGCCACATGGAGCCTTCTTCTTCGAATGGCATGGAGTGCTCTGTGGGGCCACTGTTTGAGTGACAGCTGTCACACTCACACATAAACAATTTCATAATTGATGCCAGGCTTCATGAGGGAGTTGATAATTGGGAAGGAAAAGCTTTGGCAGCTTCACCAAAGGTGACAAGAGTTCCCAGGCCCGGTGCGAAGGTGCAGGTCGCGTGTTTCAAGGCCTGCGCTAATGCGCCCGTCTTACTGAGGACGGGAGGGTTGGGGCGTGTGTGCGTCCCCATAGCAGTGTGGGGGTAGAGCGCCTGAAATCGCAAAGCCTTGAACGAGCATGATGGCTACGATGTTTAGAAATAGATGATTGTATAGCATTGGCTGTGGAAGGAGCTCCGTGGGTCACGGGGCCCTGTCTCACGGGGTCTGCGTACCTGTTCTGGCTGCTTGTTTCTTGGCACTTTCAGTCTCAGGTGCTCTTCACCTGGAGGCGCTCCCCTCCAGCTCTTTCACACACACGCTGAATGCAAGAAATCTTCAAAAACCAAAAACCCTTTCACAACGATGTGGGCATTTTCTCATTTTTAAGTGCTGAAAGCTCAGTTTATGTTGCCATCTGTGTTCATTGAACACCGGCCAGGCCCAGAGCAACACTGGCTTGGACACCGGGGAATTACAAAGGAAGAAAAGGACATAATTCCTTACTTTTGAAGAGTTTATGGTCTAGTGGGAGAACAAGATGACAACGTCCATTATCTGGAGAACGGCGTCGTTACAGATGGCATCCATGCACACGTGCAGCGGCTTTGCTGAGGGGCACACGAGTGCTTCGGCATTTGGAAAGAGTGGAAGGACGGTTCTAGGAGGTGATGTCACAATTGTCAAGTGAAAATTTCTACCCCGGGATTTACAGCATTTTTGTTTATTTTCTCCAGAGACCAAACAGTCGCATATTTTCTGTCTCTACTTGAGCTTTGGGCAAAGAGAAAGGTCTGATCATCTCACTCGCGCGGAAGGACTGTGCATTTTGAAGCTCGGCAGAGCTCATCTGCGTCGAGGCAACGCACCTTGGTGTGTGTGAGGGTCACTGACTCCGCGGTTTGCAGGGCGGGAATATGGAAGGATATAGAGAGGCATAAAAACCAGTGAATGAACCAACCATGTAGCAAAATAGTTGCCAGAAAGGCTGCAGACACACAGGGGCAGTCTGGCAGGAGGAGGTGCTAACCGCACAGAATCCTCCAGGCGCTCTGTTGTTGGGGCTACCGGTGATGCTGGCTGCAAGAGAGTCCAGAAAAGGGCTCCTCCCTACAAGGGGAACCCCCCGAAAGCCTTTAGTGTCTGG